GTGGTGATTTCACATGACAGTGACCCTCTAGGGAAGGGTAGACCTGCTCCTCCTTAGGGTTTCTCTGCCTGTAAATCTTTCTTCTGCAAAGCGGGGTTTGAAGCACTGACCCCACGGTGAGCAGCCAGATGCGGCACCCACTTTGCCACCAGGACACCTAAACTAGTAACCTTGTAGGAGCCCTGGTGGCATAGGGGTTATACCTTGGGCTGTGATCGCCAGTGTTGGCAGTTTGAAACTGTTAGGTAGTTTAGCTCAGGGACTGAGGCGTCCATTCCACTCCAGAGTTCCGAGCTACCGGCCCACGCAGGAGTGGTACACTGCGCATGCTCAGAGGCTCAGAGGCCAGGAAGGGGAGGTATACCTGGGTGAGCGCTGCACCTGGATCGGCCCACCAAGGCCAGGTAAATTCAATTTAGCCCATGGAGTCGACCAGGGTCGTCCACCACGGCCCCCTGCGGAATAATTGAAAAGGCAGGAGCCCGGAGCCGACCCGGTGACTTTCTTGAGCAGCTTCTAGGGAGGCAGACATGGGTGAGGGGCCCTGCGGGTGCCTGTGTAGACCTGAAACTTCTCTCATAAAACTCACTCGGATCACAAACCAGGCCTCGGCGTGAATTCTTTCTCACGTGGAGCCAAGGACCGAGGTATATCTCTCCCCCGAAAGATCTAACAAAACCACCATCCCTTCCTGAGGGGAAAAATGGGGCTTTCTACTCCCATGAACAGTTACAGTCTTGGAAACTCACAAGGGCAATTTTAACCTTGTCCTACGGGGTCCCTCTGAGTCAGCCTCAACGTGGTAGCAGTGAGCTATTGTTTATTGTTGAGTAATCTTGTGCTCACCGTATACACATGGTGCTAGACTGGAAATAAGAGATCCAGCTGCCCTAAGCTGCAGAAAGCCTGAGAAATTAGACTTGATTCTTTCCAAGGACCACTGATATCATTTCCTGTTGAACATGATTGGGAGGCTATCCTTGAGTTTTTGAAATATTTTGTTCCCAGGGTGGGTGGGAGCAACTTGTGTTTCTACGTCAATCCTGGAGAGGAGCCAATGTGTACATTTATGGAAACATCAGCATTCCATCCAGAAACAATCCCTTTCACCTCAGTACTGAAGCAATGACGGGGCTCCCGCCTCAGGGCACACCACTGTCTGTTCATATCAGGCCACAGACTTGGAGCCTTGTAAAATATTAAGGGACATTTCACAATCAAGACTCAATGAAATGGGTCATCCAGGGAAGCCAGCTAAATTTGCATAGCATGTGCACGTTGGGAGCTGTTCCCAGCTTGTGGATTTATGTCTTGTCTTGTTTTCTCCCTATGGTGTGGGTTTCCTTTGGCTAACATAGGTCAGTCATCCACATGATTCTACTGGATTTTAAATAAGATGAAAATTAGCTGTCCAGGAAGCTTATCTGTAAACACCGGAAGTGCAGAGATTTTATTTTTTTTAATGGTCTTCGTCAGTGAACCTCACAGATCCAGCACAGCCCCTTGTCTGTGTTAATCACTAGTGTGGTCGGTTGCCTTTGCCTTGCTTCCAAGTGCTGGCGAGTGTGAATGTCAGGAGGGCGGCTCTGAAAGGCTTTCAGAGGCAGGTTCTCCCACTCGATGGGCAGACCATTCTTCCAAGGCATTTCCGGGTGGGTTTGAGCTTCTCGCTTCTGGGGGAGCAGCTGAGGACGAACAGGAGCCTTGCTGTGTGGTGCTTCTGAGTTGCACTGCTAACGGCAAGGTTAGGAGAGACATGTTTGCTTCCTCAAATGATTTATTGTTTTAAATCTTGACGTCTTGGTTTTCTGGAGATTACAGTGTTCCGAATTTGATTTGGTCTTCTTAGTAAATTTTTTTTCCCTTTAAAAGGCCAGCGTGATCTCAATTCAAGGCAAAGTTGTGGGATATCATGGCATCTGCCTGGGTAAGTAAAATCAATCCCTCCTAACACTCTATTTCACTGAATCTAGTCCGAATAACAGAAAAATCAAAATCTTGAGACTTTTTGAAATCTGATTAAAAAGTTTAACTGAAAGAAATAGCAACACAAAAGGGCTAGAAAATGTTTTTTAAAATCTATAAAATATAAGAAAATGTATTGTAAGGCTACATAAGTTTTTGTGTGCAGTGGTAACAAAATAAAGAGAGCAATACAAAAACTAAATTTAATATATAGAAATGTATTATATGATAGTGGGGACAATTATATCATAGAGGGAAAGACCACTTGTTGAATAAATAATGTTTGAAAAACTCCTATCCATTTGGGATAAAATAAATCTGCATCCCCCCTCCCTCCTCCTTATATTCAAGCAAGGTTAGGTGGAAAAAATACAGAAACGAGAAGAAATATAGTTAAATTTTACAAGCTAATCTTGGAAAAGGAAGACACTTAAAATCATGACACAAAATCAAAGTCTGAGAGAAAAATATTGATCTATTTTTATTTAACGACATATAAATTTATAACTTATGGCAGCAAACCATGCAGTAGACATCCCACAGGGGGAAAACATTTTTAGCACATCAAATAAAAGACTTATTTCCTTCACATACAAATAACTTGAATCAGTCAATAAGAAGAATGAAGTCGATGGAGAAATTTGCAAAGGACGTGAAAAAAAAAAGTAATAAAGAGATGTTAATATTTCACTGAGCATTAAAAAAAAGTTAACACAACAGGAAACTGCTTTCTACCTAAAAATGAAGACCAACCTTGTGAGACAGGTGGGGAATGTTGAGCCCGAGTGTTACAAGGCCTGCCAGATCAGCAGTGCCAGCTCAGATCACATGTCTCGCCATCACTCATTCCCCCACTTGCTCGCTCACTCATTCATTCACTCATTCACTCCCATCATTGACTGGGTTCCGACTCACATCCACCCTTTCTACAGGAAAGGGTAGAACTGCCTCCATGGGTTTCTGAGACTAATTCTTTACAGGAGTATAAAGCCTTGACTTTCTCCCAAGGAGCGGCTGGTGGTCTCAAACTGCTGACCTTGCAGTTGTCAGCCCCAGCTAATTTTTAAAAATGATTTT